GACTGGGCCCTTTGTGTTGCAGCTGAATGCTGCAGATGGGAAGGTTAGGAAAGGGGTTTTGCCAGAAAAGGGTAACTGCTGTTTTCACCCCGTGAAGTTTTACACGCACAAGTAAGAATATACTTTCCTGGTGCAGGACACTGTTTGTTACCCTTACCAGCTTTGCAGCGTTTCTTTTCTAATTGTGGAAGAGTGCACCCAAAAGTAATGTCAAAATGTGTTACCAAAACCAAACAAAACCACTCCCAAAACAAACAGACAGAAAAGAAACAAACCAGAGACATTTACAGTACATTTCAAACCCAAGGTCCAGCAAAAATAGGACAGATGTTTTCAGCTTATCAAATTTCTAAGCTGTACAAAGTTCAGTCACTGTTTAAAAATGTTGTATATGAACAGGCCTTCCCAGGGAGAGTAAGATCCCTGCAGATCTAAAACACCAGAAACCAGAAGAGAATACCAAGCAGAGACAGGCACAAATATGCACAAGCTATATTCACTCATTTTTGTTCTGTATGGAAAGCAGTTGAAGGCATGCTGTCTGATGAAAGCAGTTCTCATCTACAAGAAGTTTGTCAGAAAGCTACAGAAAAGCCTACACTGTGCACTTTTTACATTATCGTGCATCAGTCTTAATACCACTACTTTCCCGACAGGCTTTTAGCCCAACCATGCTCTGCAGAGTAGTAGAGATAATGGTTTCAGTTTACTCAATTTTGCAACTTCTACACGGTGAACTGGGACATTTTGAGGCAGGTGAAAGCAGATGGATTGAGGAAAACAGTGGAGATGGGAATTTTCTCCTCTGGAAAATTTACAGTTGCTTCAGCAAATCTGGGACTGCAGTTTTCAGATGAGATAACTGTCATGTGACAGCACTGCAAAAGCCCAAGAGAAACTAATTGCTCTGAAGAGAAGGCAATGGAATTAGAAGATGCAACTTAACAGTCAACTACTCCAACGAAGAACAATACACTGGCCCAGCCATTGTCCCTCTCCATTACCATCTAACAGCTCTCTGGCCTCCCATCTTCAACATATACAAGGCAGCGTGCTGTGATCCACATGCCATGTGCCACCTTCTTTGCCTTCTTCATAGCGTGCAGCTGCAGAGTACCACTTTCTGAAACGCATAGGGACTCTCCAGTTGGTTGAAGTCTTCCTCCTTCAGGAGCACTCAACATAAATCTGAATGTCATTTTAGATTAAGCAAGAACTCTTTCCTTGCAGTGTAGCCACAGAGTAAACCCCTCAAAACTTCATCAGCTTCCCCTTCCCCCCCCCTATCTAATGAGTTACAAAATAGAGTTAGAGCTTATTATCTACTATCCCACCTATGCTGGTTTTAGGTGTTAAAAGAAAGTAAATTTATCCAGTAATATGCTTCAAGGTAGTTTTAGGTGCTTCCTGTGAAAAAGAAAAATCCTAATACTCAGCTAGGTCAACTATAGTATAAAATATAAACTTGTATCCTCAACTTGCAGTCAGTTGGTTTTTATTTCTGACAAGCTGTGGATGCAACAGACACACACACATACAGAACAAATCGCTGAGACACCAGCTGCATTGGCAAGCCACTTAAATGGCATGCTCTTGGCAACAGAACACATGCATGAGAGAATGAGTTTGTGCTGAATAACTTCAACAACAAGTGGAAATGCCCCACCTCATACACCATAGAGCGAGGCTTCACGTGCAGGGGAGCCATCAGAGTAGCACAAACTACAGTTTACTGGGAAAATCTAGGGTATTGACAGAACCTCTCAAACACCAAAATCTTGCCGAAAAACACTGTTAGGTTACAAATATAGCAAGATGAACAACAAATGTTAAATACAATCCATTGGATCAGTTTTGCTTCTATTCTAAAGAATTTCCTTAGTGCACTTTTTTTCATCTTGTAGAGGATTATTAATGAAAAGTAGCTCTATTAGAGACCAGTCTGAAACTGGCCAGTATCTGAGCTGTATCAGTGACTGGTTAAGTTACACAGCTCTTTCCCCAGTGAACAGAATACACAAAGTGTCTGGCACATATTCCAAAATGGAAATTGAAAAATTGTTGTCTAATGAAAGTTCTGCAATAGACATCTTACTTCCATTTCTACTGACAAAGTGCCAGTGCCGTTTTAACTCATGCCAGTCCAGAAAAAAGGGATGAGGGAGGGCAGAAGACTTAAAATTACAATATTTACACCTGTTTTAATCTAAGTAAATGTGGAATCCATTACTAGGAGGATGGAGATTTCATTCTTTGTGCTAACAATTAAAATGGGGTTGCACAATATATAGGAATCAACATATTTCCAGATGTCACAATCCACTTCATATAAAGAATATCTTCTGTTTGCAAGACCCAAGTGAACCACCCTCTTTCTCTCTATTTTTGCAAATAGAAGAGAACCACAAAAAGTAAGTATAATAAGCAAAAGAAAAACTGAGGGAATAAAAAGCCCTTACTTTGGCTTCTCTGATTTTCCTAAACTTTGATGCCAAACCAAACAGTTTCACTGGCTTTGCTGCCTCACAATGAAGTGAGACAGACCAAACAGACTGCTTAAATGCATGAAGCACATTGCACAACTACAGTCTCAGCTATAAAAGGTGGCATCTGGAACATTCCTTGTCCTGAAGGCTGAAAGGTAAGGGGGGAACAGGACCTCTCTGTTAATCATCAAGCCCAGTACTTAGCTACTACTGAACACTGAAGTTCCATTTCTGGAGCTAGCAGACTGTCTTGCTTCCCCGCTTCCTGAGGGCAAAACCTTATGAGGGCACAGTCATTCCTCAAAATTTATTTATCTAAAAATGCTGCATATGCTACTCCCCCAAACAACATGAAAACTCAATTGACTTCAGAGGCCCTGACCAAGGGAAAAATTTCTATATTGCTCTTCTTTGGTGTTGGTACAGAAATAGGCCATTGTAACAGTATAGTCAAAACATGATGTCACCAAACTAGCTTATACCACAGGAAGAAAAATTTTATTTATTGCTTTAAAGAGAAAAAACTTTTTTGGGGGTGTTCACATTCTGGTTTGATAACTGTTTTTATTAATTCATTTCAATTAGCTAGTTATTCCCCTCGTCTTTCTTTGAAGCTAATTCAAATTCCCTGTAGAACTCCCTTTTCAAATTAAAATACTCAGAGCTAATTATTTAGCACCTTTAATTTTCACACTGTTCTTCCGACAGCTTTGTGGAAGATAAACAATTACTTCACACTAAGAACATACCACAATCTATGTCCCTTGACATAGGTCAAGGGACCTATGACCACCAGTTACCTGGAGCTTAACAAGATATTAAAAAGGAACATTTGTCTGGCTGACAAATCTAATGTTCTAATGATAACAGAATAGGAATTTTTGAATTCGCCTGATCTCAGGTCACATCTCATGCTGTCATCCAAACCCTTGGGTTAATCATAACCTACAACATTATACTGAGATTCATACTACAATTTCTCCTTCTTAGAAATATGAGCACAAGTAGCCAGTAACTAGATGTACTTCTTAAACAACTATTTTATTTAGAAACTAAGCATTGAGGGTGGTGGGGAACATAACAGGATTTTAAGCAACTATTTGAGACTTCTTCACAACATCTGGTTGTATCCGATTATCTATCTGTATCCTCAGCTGTCTCAAATTAAATGGACATACTCAACAAGTAAACCTGCTACTACATACAGGTCTTCAGTAACTCCATGAACAAATCCACAACAAATGTATGAAATGGCTGCTCATCAGTATTTCTAGATTACACAAAAGCCATGTGCTGTTCTACATCACAATATTATCAAGCTCTATCAATTTGCTGAATTTCCTCTCAGTTGAATACTGTGGTTAATAATTCACTGAAGCCTCAGAATCCCATGAACACACACACAGAAGCCCAAAAAAGCCTTGCCCCAAACCTTCATTCTAGGTTTCAGTTATAACTTTTAGTTATTTAATTTATCACCTTCTGGTCTGAGTGAAACTACTTTAGGACTCAGTTCTCTGCATTGATATCTAAGTCTTGTTGCTCTTCTGTGGCAGCACAATTATTCTTTTAGATTAAGATTTAATCATGGGATTCTAATGCAAAAACAATGGGGGGAAAGGCATCTTCTTTAGGAGAATGTCTTTTGAAACATCTTGGGCCTCCCCAGTGCAATTGTCAATGTCCATGACTTGATCAGTATAGATGCCTGCTCTGACCAAATTTTAAATTTACAGCAGTGAATCTCCAGAGACACTTCACTACCTTACTCCTGGGAGCATATCATAACAAATGAGCAGACAATTTGTCCAACTTTGTCTAGCATTTGAGCAGTAGGTAGACAGGATTAATTTTTTGCATTTTTAAGAAAATTATTTCGAAAGAAAGGAGGGCATAAGGGAATCACACCATGTTCTATCAGACATTCCTTTGACAATTAAGAAATACTCAATATTGTCATAAATGTTTATACAACATTGTGAAGAGAGACAGAATGCCTACGTTGTTTTCAAAGCAGGCGGTACATTAAAATAACTTCTTGTTCATGCATCTAGACACCACAAAATCATTGAGGTCCTGAAATATGGCCCTCTAGGGCCCCCACAACCACCTTCTCCTGTACACAAACGTTGCTTGAAGTCTTCCACATGCAGCAATTTTAGATACTAGTAGTATCCGAGCACCACAGACAAGTCAAAACATCTTTTAAAGAAGTTGTTCCTGAGTGTCCCAATTTGGTGCAAAAGTCTCAGGTAAAACCTGAGATTTCAAGCAATTAAATTACACTTGTAGCAACTTAGACATAACATACATAACATTTCTTACAAAACTTTTGTGAACCACATAAATGTGTTTCCTTTCTTTTCAAATATGTATTGATATGCTAAATATCATGTTAATGTTAATGAAACAAGACTTCTCAAAAAATGGATAAATGTATACAAGACATAAAGCGGCAAATGAGAATAGCACTTGTTTTCTAAGAATGCACCCAAGTACGGCTCTATTACTCACCTCAATTTTATCTGTTTTTGCGTCTCCCCAGTAAAGCTTGTCTTTTTCAAGATCCAGTGCCAAGCCATTAGGCCAACCTAGGGATGTATTCACCAGAACTCGCCTTTCTGAGCCATCCAAATAAGCACATTCTATCTTCGGACTTTCACCCCAGTCTGTCCAATACATGTAGCTGTAAAAAAAAAGAGGGGAAACAGTCAATGCACACATCATGCAAGACAAAAAAAAGTGTCAAGATCTGTCCTGCTTTTGAAGGAACTTACTAACTTTCTGCTTCCCCAGCTGCAGCAAACAAGCCAACTTGAACTGTAACCAGCAATGACAATATAAATTTTGAACATTAAATAAATTAAACTATTGAAAATGTGCAGTGGCCCAATTCTTTCATGCTTATGGTAAGATGCAGAGAAAAGAAAATTCAACCAAATACACAATGTATAGGTTTATTGAAGAGCACTATATTTAGAAGTCACCTTTTATATACACAGTATTAAAGGGACCAAGCAAAGGAAAGCCAGTTACTTCCAGAACATTTAACAAACAATACACACATTATCTCGCAATTTACAGATTTTCAGTTTCAGAAGGCCATAAACTGGATCCAAAGACCCATCACAGGAGTATGAATAAACACAAAACTTACCCCATTACAGGATTGAGCACTATTGCTCGAGGTTCATCTAGGTTTTCCGAGATAAGGATCTTTCTTGATGTCCCGTTCAACCGGGTCACTTCAATGCGGTCTGTTCCAGTATCAGTCCAGTACAGGTTCCTCGCCACCCAATCCACAGCAATACCATCTGGATGGTTGATTTCTGTGGTAACCAGAGTCTGTGCTCCAGAGCCATCAAGGTAGGCCCGACGAATTGCCCGGACATCATCATCAGTCCAGTAGATGTAGCCTTCCACAGGATCATAGTCTATCGCAATTGCATGTCTGATATTGTCTATCTGTAGAATAATGTCAGTGAAATCTGGCATGTCCAGGGAAATCCTCCTCAAGTCAGTCCTTCTAGCGAGCAGCAAGACTTCTTCAGCACCTGGGGAGAAAACCACTCATGGTATTATTTCCTTTGCTATTGATGTGAACAAGTCAATAGAGCACAGCAGGCTGTGAACTGCCCCTATCACTGTCATAAGAAGAGATTTCCTTAAATTAAGGACATCAAACTTTCACTGAACTACAGACTTGTCTGAGCAGGAATTTATTCCTAATCAGTTCTTCTCAACTAGCTACTTGTGCTGCCACTCTTATTTCACAATGAAAGCATCTTTCTCACTGCCTCCTAAACTAATATGGAACATAGCAACCTCTACCTAGAATCTATTTAAAAAAAAAAAAAAAGTATTTTAGTAATTTGGTGGGGATAGGTCCAACTATTTCATCACATTACACATCACATAAACTCCTCACCTCCACCAGCTGTATCAGTGCATTAGACATGGTTTTCACATGCAAGCCATACATAATAAATGACAAGGGCTAACAGAATACTTTGAGTATTTTGTAAACAGATTACATTAATGATTTGCTTCAGACAGCCCAACAAGAAAGCAAGTCACAACTACAGCAAGTCTTTCTCATCTGGCCAAAGATGATGCAAAACTAATTCTAAGGCAAAAGGATTGTTGTTCTTTACTGTCCTCTATTTTTCCTCCTCACTGCAAAGTTTCACTGCTTGTGAAAAGGGTGTCAAACAACAGCCTGAAGCATATTTCAAAGCATCAAGGCATCTTCAGTGTCATCTTTCGGCAACTTCTTTTATCAGTACAAAAACAGGACAGACAGTAAAACATCCAGCTGCCTAACACATTTTCCCTGCATTCACCCATGCATGCTTCAGCACAAAAAGAGTGTCTTTTTCCTGTTCTGTTAATAAAACGATGCTCCATAGTTTGAAAACCAACAAGGAGTTTTTAGTTATTTAGTAAAACTCCAAAACTGGAAACCAAAACAAAAGTCACTTGTTGCATTTCATCCAGACCAGCTAACACCAGCTGGTGGTAACTTCCAGTTCCCACCAACAGCCCAGACTGAATGAAAATGGCCAACGTGGGACATATATCTTTCAAGCCCACTAAGAATAACAGGAATTCAAACCCTCATGAGAATATTCTCCCAGAAATAATTCTCAGCTGGGCATGCAAATGGAGTTATAGAGACTCAGAAATTAAATCTATTGCACATCAAAACAAAATTCACATTCACTTTGGGAGCTGGATTGTGCTGCTATTTGCTTTTGGGTTTGGGAATCAGAGCTTAGTCTCAAAGTATCTCAGAAGCTCTGAAAAGAAACACTACTGAACACACTGAAAGAAACACTACTGAAACTGCAAGTGTATAATAAAAGGAAAGGATCTAGAAAAGCAGTGTTGTAACATCACCCAAATAAGTTTGCTATGCAGCACAGAGGAGACAGTTTAATGTGCACTTTGAATTACCTCAAGTCATCACAACTCCTGAATGAAGTTGTGCTGCCCTTCTCCTAGCCATGGGCTGCTTGTTCTCACTTCTGTGTCATCCCGTCTCAAGCACAGCATGGCTGTGTGTTGCAAACCACATTAAAGAGCTGATCCAAACAAAAACTAACTCAACAGAAATAAAGCCATCAGGCTAAGTTAAGAACCAGACCAGTTCACTGCAGAGCTCCACAAACACTTGTGCTGGCATGGGGAAGTACTCCAGCAAGAAGCTTTTTCCAGTCTTTGGACTGGAATTCCAGAAGATTTGGTAACTACAGCATCAGTGGCACCAACAAACTTTGAGGGAAGGCTTGGGTAGAAGGAAAGCAACAATAACTCAGCGCTCAAAAACCATGTGGAGAAAACGGAAGAGGGAAAGCCCACACATTCATGACAGCAAAGCAAGCGAGATGTCTACCATCAAATTTCCTTAATACAGATTTTATAACTTCAAAGGTTGCAAAATAAAACCAGGTTTTCAGGAAGAGTATTTGTTATGCTTGAAACTTCTGCTCACTTCTCTGGACAGAGCAAAACTAGTGACCTGTTGTCCAAGTTCAGAAGGGAACCACCCCAGGTGACTACACAATTTACAAGGCTTTCTTCCTCCGTTGCCTCCTTAGGTAAGCACATGTCCTAGTTTGAGGTAACACAAAACTAATTTTCTGTTCAGTATTTTTACTTTGCAGCTAAGCCTTTTAACTAGCTGGACTCTCTGAAATTAACAGTATATTTTTTCTGACAGCCACCACTCTCAGAGTGGCAAGATCTGATTGTTTCTAACTTATGCTGAGCAATGGCATGAAGAGAGGCTCTTGCTTATACTTCTTGCTATAACAACCCAGGACAGCAAACTTTGCTGTATGTCCTGTTGGAGGATTGGAAGCAGAAAAGAACAGAGGGAAGAGTGGACGGGACAGGTGACCCAAAACTGACCAACAGGGTATTCCAGCCCATCTGCCTCATGCTCAGTATAAAAGCTGAGGGATCAAAGGGTCAGCTTTCCCTTTCTTCAATGGCCGATGTCCAAGGAGGACTCTCTGTTTGCCTGCCTTTGATCTCAATCTGTGCATTCCTGAATCCAGATTAGGAATCCAGTTCCAGTCCGTCACTGAGTCCAGTCTGGGACTTTCCCAGTGCCTGCCGGTAACAAGATTGTGATACAGCTTGATATGGTTTTGTATATACTGTGTATTTTTCATTATTTTCTTTTTCCAATTTTATTAATATTTTCATTAATTTAGTTTCTCTTCTAAACTCATTCTCTCTCTTCCTCCTCTGCCTGAAGGGAGATGCTTTCCCTTCTCTGAAGGGAGAGGGGTCAGAGAGCATCTGTCATTTTTTCAGTGGCCAGTCCAGCCCAAACCATGATAGCACAGCAACAGTTTCCTATTTTTCAAGTTTCCTCCTGTTAAGGGAACAACATGCATGAGCAATTCTTAGAAGGCACTGCTAGTAAGAGTATTCATTTTCAAAAGCTTCCTGAATCTCCTGGATTTTAGCTCCTTTACTAAGCATACTAATTTTGGTTTACTTCTTGAGTAGTGAAAAATAAATCAATCAACTGTTTTCTTAAAAAGACCACAGTGGACAGAAGTCCAGTACAAAGTTTGTAACTCCTCTTCTACCATGCCTCTTTGCTAGACATATATTCCAACAAAACATCTTTGAGATATTAACTACATACAATGGCAAACAGCATGAACTAAAGGTGACACTGTCAACTACTTCACTATAACTACTTCAGAGTACCTCAAATGCGAGATAGTTCCCAGACAGTTATTTCAAAAAGCTATCTGTGAACAGATAACCTTGTCTCTAAATTGGAGAGACAGGGATTTCACACATGGTCCACTCAGTGGATAACGAACTGGCTGGATGGCCACACTCAAAGAGTTGTGATCAACAGCTTGATGTCCAACTGGTGACCAGTGATGAGTGGTGCTCCTCAGCAGTTGGTATTGGGACTGGTACTATTTAACATCTTTGTCAGCAACATGGACAGTGGGATTGAGTTCATCGTCAGCAACTTTGCCGACGACACCAAGTTGTGTGGAGCAGTCAACATGCTGGAGGGGAAAGGGATGCCATCCATAGGCTTGAGAAGTGGGGCATGCCAACCCTCATGAAGTTCAACCAGGCCAAGTGCAAGGTCCTGCACCTGGGTTGCAGCAATCCCAAGCACAAATACAGGCTGGGTGGAGAATGGATTGAGAACAGCCCTGAGGAGAAGGACTTGGAAGTGTTTGCTGATGAGAAACTCAACAGGAGCTGGCAATGCACATTTGCAGCCCAAAAGGCCAAGTGTATCCTGAGCTGCATTGAAAGAAACATGGCCAACAGTTTGAGGGAGGTGATTCTCCCCCCCTACTCCACTCTCGTGAGACCCCACCTGGAGTGCTGCATCCAGGTTTGGAGTCTTCAGCAGAAGAAGGACGCAGACCTGTTGGAGCATGTCCAGAGGAGGCCCACAAAGATGATCAGAGGGCTGGAGCACCTCTCTTAAGAAGACAGGTTGAGAGAGTTGTGGCTCGTCAACCTGGATAAGAAAAGGCTTGGGAAATATCTAATAGTGACTTAAAGAGGGCCTACAGAAAAGCTCGAGAGGGACTCTCTATAGGGACTGCACTGATAGGACAAAGGAGTAATGGTTTTAAACTGGAAGAGGGTAGAATTAGATTAGATATCAGGAAGAAATTCTTCACTGTGGGGGTGGTAAGACACTGAAACAGGTTGCCCAGGGAAGTTGTGGCTGCCCCATAACTGGAAGTTTTCAAGGCCAAGCTGGATGGGCTTGAGCAACCTGGTCCAGTGGGAGATGTCTCTGGCCAAGGCAGAGGAGTTGAAACTAGACAACCTTTAAGGCCCCTTCCAACCCAAACCAGTCTATGATTCTAACAAAAGCAGTGCATACTCTGCAAGGCTGTTCTCTCTTTCTACATCAAGGACTACCCCAGGAACAGTAGTCTCAAGGCTACGCTGACATCTCTCAATTAGAAAACAGGTAAAACCAAAATAATATGGAAAGAATCAACTTTAAGCAGAAACAGAGGATCTTAAAAATAGTAAAAGGGTTGTAGTCAAAACTGATCCATGCAGTGTTAAAAATGAAATTTTTATGGAGCCTGTTCAAATAGAAAGGCTCTTAGATCTCGTTTCATTAACTTATTTGTGTTGACATTTTGTTAGAAATACTGAACTTGTGTCAAGTCCCATGGTGCTAAGTATTTAACATAATTGTTTTTTTTCTGACATTATCATCTCCAAAGAATGTACAGTGTCACCAGACACTGGTTTGTCCAGAGCATGTTAACTTGACAACAGTAGAAATTAAAGGAACCCAGGTCATATTATATACGGATTAATATTACCTCCATATTGCCTCCAACAGTACAGATTGTCCACCACCAAATAGTCTCTTTAAAGGAAAATTTTCCAAAAGGTCTTCTTTCTTAATACATTTAAATACACAGAAATAATTTTATTTCCTAATGCAAATTAAATTTATAACTTAATAGCCAAAGGGGAAAAAAAACACTGTTAGAGAGAGCACCTGCAAACCAGCTGCAGACCTGCA